GTGGTCTGCCTCTTAATTTAGTGCTTTCTTCCACTAATAGAAATGTTCATGAAGAGATTGGATGACTGTTGAAAGAGAAATAATAAGTGGACATTTCTGCATTGGGTGGACAGTTAGTTAACACCGGGTTCCTAAAGGGCAGTGCTTCCTGGCAACACTCATAGGACACCAAGCAAAACTTTTGTTCCATTACACACTGGGCTTTTGATTTGTTGTTACTGTAGCATAACATATTCTATCCTAATGAATACACAGTCTTTGGTAATAGTTTTGGATAGGAATCTAACATCCCACGTGGCCTAAAAGAAGTTAATGAACTTTCTTGGCCTAGATTTGCTTATTAGTAATAATTGAGGGCTAAATTAAATAATCTCCAAGGCTGCATCTATTCAAATATAATACAACATTGTGATTCTGTGAGTCAGGGAAATTTTCTGCGTAAACAGTGGTGTTACCACAAATGTGTTGGTGCAGTTGGTAGAGTCAAAAACCTAGACCCATTATAGGCAGGGAATTGATTTCCTAGAAGCTGTCCTTGGAAATTTTAGAGATAAAGTCATGCCACACAATTTTTTGTTAGAGAGTCAATGCCCAGAACTATCTTGAGATGTTACAAAATCTTACTTTTGTTTTACTCAGGGTAATTAACATGGGAATTATCCTTCATCTGTGATAGGAGAATGATGAATATTGATTATTGGATATTTCTCTATTCCATGTATCCCATATGCATTATCTCACCCAATACTCATTTATCTATTTATCTACCTATCATCTATAATCTATCTAATCATTAGCAACCTCTATTATCTTCCCGTTTTTGCTAATGAAGAAACTGAGACTCCCGGAAAATAAAATAGTTTCCCAACAAAAGAGCAGTGCTAAAATCTAATCCTAGGTTTGTCTGCGTCCAAAGGTCAGGTTCTTAAGCTCTAAAATATTTCAAGGGTAGATTGTAAAGTTTAATACAGAGAACATTTTCTAAGTCTGGTGCTTCAGATTTTGTTCTATCCTCTTTTACATGTGGTTAAATTGATCTTCCCTGTCAAATTCACTCTTTATGTCTTTCAATTTTGGTCACATATTAACTTTTCTAAATTATTTCTATTCTCTTTTTTAAGGTTCCTCTTCAGTTTCAAGAAGTTTCTCAACAGTTTTTCTCTTTATTGCTTTTTTTTTACTTTTGTCTTCCCACACTACTTCATATATAATATGCCCCTGTTATGGTCTATTACTCTGTCTATAATTTTAAGTTTCTGGTTCAAAGTAACAAGCAAAACAGTACTAAATTATAAGCTGTGTGGGTTTTCTGTTACTGTGTGAAAGGCATGTCATTTTGTATTTTTACCTTTTACTACAGCAAACTAAGTAACGCAGATTGAACCATTTCTAATAAAAAAACTTCCTGTTCTTTCATATCTATTTTTGCATCTCTTCTGACATAGTCTTGATATATCTTTTTCTAATGTCATTAACCTTGACTCTGTTCTATACCTGTTGTATTACATTTTACAGTAGCAATTCTGGACCAGCTAGAATATTCTCTGTATAAAATATCAGAAAGAAAAAAAGTAAAAAAATAATTTACAAAAAATAATTCTTTCCATAATGTAATATCAAAAAAAAAAACAAACAAATAGCTATCTCATTTACTTAACATATTTGAAATCACCATGGTAACAATGCCAGGGAAACATAAAGAAAACAATAAAATAAAATGGCAACCAAAACAGGTTTTATTTAATTTAAATTTGAAGATTAAACTCCCTAAAGTAGACTTTGTCTACTTTTCCTCATGAAACAATGACTGTATAACATTTTGTTTGTAGTGTACACTGTGGTAATCTCCCCCACAGTCCTTGCACTCCTTTCTTTTGTGTTGTGGCCAACAATCACAAATCCACAGAGATGGTCCATCATTGTTTAATTCAATCAAAGTAATCTTATTTTTCTTGCCAAAGTGGATTCTGTAGCAAAGGGATTGGATCAGCAATAAACATGTAACACAATTAAGGCCAATGAGACCTAAGAATTAGTTAGGACTTTCAATTCCTTCTCAGAAAAACAGAGTTTTTAACTTCCTGTTTTTCTAATATGCACAAATATATCCATGTACCATAATGATCATGTCTCAACGTCAGACAATTTAGATCATATCTCGATATCAAATACATTAGAAGAAAGTAACACAGGGCTATTTTATGAAAGCAACACCTTGACTTTGGGAATTCAAAGAAACCTTAAGAGATTATGTGAAAGATCTTTGAAATATATAAAGCATGCCATAATAAAAGATAACAATTTCTCCTCAATTCAATTATGCTGGGAAATTATACTGAGTCTTTGGTTCACTTGTATTATTTTTATGTATCATTAATCCAAGCTTAGTAGGCTCCTGGTGACTTACATGATATATAAGACTCTCCGATGACACTATCTGCCTAATTCATCGAGTCAAACAATGCTGCGTGACTCTCAAGGCCTTTCATAATCTGGGTCCTCCATGCTCTCCCTACTCTACTTAGATACTGTTGGCACTCCCTCAGGTGTACCTGCAGTTTCAGACTCTTCACAGCTCTGCTGTCCCTCTCTTCATCCTCTCCATATGTACCATCTTAATCTTTGCATTTTTACCTTTTGGTCAAGCCCTTCTGTACCCCCTGCAAGAATGAAACTCTTCCCTACAACGGTATTTGGCTCTTTGGCTCTGATTACACATTATCATGCTTTTGCCTCTAATGCTTCAGTTTTCTCTGTGATTAGGTGTTTAGATCGTTGAGAGTAAGGATTGAGATTGATTTCTCTTGTGTCCACCTAAAGCCTCAAACACTGTGTAGTAATAGAGATATTAAATAAGTACTTGATTGATAAACCATGTTTTTTACTATTTGTCTTACAGAATCTGCTGCATGGATCTAGAAAAAGACTAAATAACTAGATTGGCTTAGGGCTCTCAAGATTCAACAAATAAAAATACAGGATGTCAAGTTAAATAACTATTTTTTAGTGTAAATATATAGAATGCAATATTTGGGGCATAATTATACCAAAACTTTTCTGGTTTTTAAAAAAGTTTAAAATTCAAATTTCAATGGATGTCCTTTATTTATCTGGCAATCTTAGATGGAGCTGCTCTAAAAAAATACTTATTTTTCTAAATTAGAGCTAAATGTCACATTTATGAGTCGTTTAAACCTTATACCATTTTGCCAATCAAGTCCTGTAGTACATGAAGTTCTCTGCCTTGTTCTACCTGGCAGTGACAAGAAAGAGTTTACATATCCATTATGTGAAAGTCACCATGTGTACAGGGAGGCAAAGATGAATTCTCTGCCCTCAAGAAAGTCTTTGGGAGAAACCGTCCATTTCATGCCAACCTCTACTTGATACGCATCTGCATGGCAATCCATACAGTTAGAGCTTTTTTTAGGCCTGACCCAGACCTTCTGGCCCCAAATCCAAGACAACAGTATATACTCTGGTTGTCAAAAATGAAGTACATTGGTTTTGAAGTACACATTAAATCGTTCCTGCCTCTGAAGTATTATAATAATACCATAATTTATAATCCTAAGTGAAAACAATTATTCATGATTTGGTTTGATCGGCATATTATTCTCAGATTTTGATAGTGAAGTGAGTTTTTATTATGGAAGTTTCTTTCCCTGATTTCTGGGTATTTAATATGCATTTTTTTAGCATAAGCAATGGACATATATTGCAAGACATTTTTTCCCTCTGAGCCATTGTGTAAATCCTTCACAGGTAAATGCTATGCTGACTACTTAATGTGAGTCACTTATTTAGATGATCATTAATATACAGGGGTTTAGATTTTGAATCTTTCTGTTGTATGGCCTTGGTCTGTGTTAGCTAATCTTTTATCATCCATTCTTTTCTGCAGTGGAAAACAGGAGACAGAAGGTATTTTCTTTGCAAGCACAATGTCATAATGGCAGTGTGTGTGTGCAAAGTTTGATATTAGTTAAATTTTTAGCTCTACTATGCTTATACTTATATGCCATATATTCAATGATGTCTGTAATAATCAAAGATGCCAAATTCCAGAAATAACAGCATGTTTTTCATACTAGTATTAATTTTGTGTGTGGTGTGTGTGTGTGTGTGTGTGTGTAAAAGTATTTCTTAGACTTAGAACATATAATTCAAGGTTTTAAAACAATGTTTCCTTAACGTACAATAAAAATTTTGCTTCTGGAATACAGTGTCATATCTTCCCTTTCTTTTCCAAACATGATCTCAACCCACCGATATTGATCTCAATCTGTATTTTCACGGAGGCCATTTTAAATTAAAATAAGGCATAATTCAGGGGCGCCTGGTTGACCCAGTGGTTAAGTGTCTGCCTTCGGCTCAGGTCATGATCCCAGGGTCCTGGGATAGAGCCCTGTGTTGGACTCTGAACTCAGCGGGGAGCCTGCTTCTCCCTCTCCCTCATCCTCTCCCCCTGCTCGTGCTCTCTCTCGCTCTCAAATAAACGAAAAATAAAATCTTTAAAAATAAATAAGGGGCGCCTGGGTGGCTCAGTCGTTAAGCGTCTGTCTTTGGCTCAGGTCATGATCCCAGGGTCCTGGGATGCAGCCCCGCATCGGGCTCCCTGCTCTGCAGGAAGCCTGCTTCTCCCTCTCCCACTCCCCCCTGCTTGTGTTCCCTCTCTCACTGTGTCTCTCTCTGTCAAATAAATAAATAAATAAGAAAAAAAAAAACAACTCATTTTTAAAAAAATAAATAAATAAAATGAGGAATAATTCATAAAATGATGATTTCCATGGAGTTCAATTGGTCATACTCATCACATGAATTTACAAATGAAGTGGTATTAAGAGGTACCAACAAGCATATTGGAAAAAGTTACAGCGGTTTGAAAAACTGGCCAGTTATTCAGTGAGAAAGCTATAATCAACATTATCCTTATACCAAGTCTTTGGATATCACAAAATACTCATTTACGGTGTACATCTCAGGTTGTCAAAGATTACCTTGGGTAGCTCTTCGATTTGATTGGCATCTAGATAAAGCTCCTCTAATGTCCGCTCGAAGTTAAAGACCTCCTTCGGCACCTGCTGAAGACTGCAGTGGGAGTAGTCTAAAACTGAGATGATTTCTTCTTCACCTCGGAAACATCGGCACGGCACCAGTCGGCCGATGATTTTCCGCTTGGTGGTCATCTCCAGGCACTGCACTACAGAAACAGACAGAAAATAACTCTGCTTAATTGACTGAATTTGGAGGGCACTCTTGCAAGAGTAGAGCCATAGAAATTTAACTTCAGTATATATTTTATAATTATGTAATACTTTTAAAGTTTATAGAGGACATGCACGTGCATTATATTGTTTAACACTTGAACAGCCCTGCAAGGTATGTGAAATCGGTTTTATTCCCATTTAACAGATAAAGAAATGGAATTCAGAGAGGTTAGGAGGTATCCCATCATCAGGCAGCTTGGGAATGGCAGAATCTCGTGAGAACACAATCATGACTCAGTGCAATGCAGCTACCATGCTTACATTCTCACTCGACATACAAATCTATAAATTTTTTTTTAATTTTACACAAGTTACACTGCAGAACAGAAATATCTGGAATTGGTTAGAAAAAAATACATTTTTTTTTCCATTTCTGTAAAAATATTCAAATTTCATAAGGTTTATGATGACCTCTTTTTGATCCACAAATTCATTCCATTAATGGACATATGTTTATTGAATAACCACTATGTTCCAGGCACTGATATAGTTACTGGGATAGAGTGATGAAATGAACAAAGTCCCTGTTTTCATGAAGCTTCTATCCTATTGGAGCTACAGATTAAAGATGGATTGGTTATTTGCTTCAGAATAAGAACCTATCTTTATGAATCTTATGATTTTAATGGGAGAAAGCAACTTATAATCATGGTAGAAATTCCTGTAACAGCTTTCTCTAGGTTAAACTTACCAATTGCCATGAAATCTTGCACAGGCTTGTACCATGTCACTTACAACACTTTATTAAATCCACTGATTTTCATGTTATTCTTCTAGACTATAAGTCTCTTGAGAGTAGGAACTATGGTTTATTCATTTTGCATTTGTCTTGCTTGACATACAGTAAATATTTAATAACAAATGTAGAATGAACAAATGAATTTGTATGGAACCACAAAAGACCCCAAATAGCCAAAGCAATCTTGAAATAGAAAAGAAAAGCTGGAGGCATCACAATTCCAGACTTCAAGCTATATTACAAAGCTGTAGTGATCAAGACAGTATGGTACTGGCACAAAAACAGACACATAGATCAATGGGACAGAATGGAAAACCCAGAAATGGACTTACACTCTATGGGCAACTAATCTTCAACAAAGCAGGAAAGAATATCCAATGGAAAAAAGATGGTCCCTTCAACAAATGGTATTGGGAAAACTGGATGGCTTCATGTGAAAGAATGAAACTGGATCACTTGCTTAAACCATACACAAAAATATATTCAAGATGGATGAAAGACCTAAGTGTGGAAACCATTAAAATCCCAGAGGAGAACACAGGCAATAACCTCTTTGATGTTGGTGGCAGAAACTTCTTACCAGACACATCTCCAGAGGCAAGGGAAACAAAAGCAAATATAAACTATTGGGACTTCATTAAAATAAAAAGTTTCTGCACAGCAAAGGAAACAATCAACAAAACAAAAAGGTAGCCTACAGAATGGGAGAATATTTGCAAATGACATGTATGAAAAAGGGTTAGTATCCAAAATCTATAAAGAACTTATAAAACTCAACACCCAAAAAACAAACAATACAGTTAAAAAATGGGCAGAAGACATGAATAGACATTTTTCCAAAGAAGATATACAGATGGCTAATAGACACATGAAAAGATGATCAACATTACTCATCATCAGGGAAATAAAAATCAAAACTACAATGAGACATCACCTCACACCAGTCAGAATGCCTAAAATTAACAACACAGAAAACAACAGGTGTTGAAGAAGATGAGGAGAAAAGGGAACCCTCTTGCACTGTTAGTGGGAATGCAAACTGGTGCAGCCACTCTGGAAAACAGTATAGAGATTCCTCAAAAAAGTTAGAAATAGAACTACCCGACAACCTAGCAATTATACTACTATGTATTTACCCAAAGGATACAAAAATACTAATTTGAAGGGATAAATGCACCCCGATGTTTATAGCAGCATCATCAGCAATAGCCAAATTGTGGAAAGCCCAAATGACCATTGACTTATGAATGGATAAAGAAAATATGGTGTGTATATATACAAGGGAATATTACTCAGCCATCAAAAAGAACGAAATCTTGCCATTTGCAATGACATGGATGGAGCTACAGACTATTGTGTTAAGTGAAATAAATCAGTCAGAGAAAGACAAATACCACATGACTTCACTCATATGTGGAATTTAAGAAACAAAACAAATGAACGTAGGGGGGAAAAGAGAGAGGCAAACCAAGAAACAGACTCTTAACTATAGAGAACAAACTGAGGGTTGCTGGAGGTAGATGGGGAGATGGGTTAAATGGGTGATAGGTATTAAGGAGGGCACTAGTTGTGATGAGCACTGGGTGTCATATGTAAGTGATGAATCACTAAATTCTACACCTGAAACTAATATTACACTGTATGTTAACTAACTGGAATGTAAATAAAAACTTGAAACTAAAAAAAAAACTCAAAATACAAACAAAAAAAAATGAATTCATGAATGAATAAATGAATATATTTAGGGCTCTCCTCTCTCCCTCCCAATCACCATCAGCTATTGACAATTTGTTGGAAAAACTTCTCATTCTAACTAAAAGGTCACTACCTCTGTGAATGTCTCTCCAAGAAGAATGACTACAGTCTTCCTCTGAGTTCCCAGAGCAATAATCACATTGCTTCCCAATTACATGTTCTATTTTCCCCCTAGGTAAGTTCTTTGAAGAAAATATCTTGTTTTATTCATTTTTGAATTCACAGACACAGTATAGTTTGCCAGCTACTGAGTAGTACTAAATGAGCATTAATTTGAAACGAACTTTTTTGGTTGATTTATTTGACTTACCAAAATAAGTTTATTACTATAAAGTGGTATTAGTTTTAAAAACAACATAGCATTTTGTTTTTTAAATTGCTTAGGTTAAGTCAAATTTGGAGGGAGATGAGTAGGAAATGTTTAAGAGATGTTGGACATTCAGCCCAAGCCTTCCTTAACCTTCTTTTAACTCCCAAAATAAATAAAATGATATTTTGAGGACAGGTTCATGAGTCATCACTTTCAGGTGGTTACTTGCACTTGGTATTCTGTAGAAGACCAACCAAAAACATTAAAAAGATAAAGATGACCTTTCTTCTTCATTACTTTCTATCTCTTGAACTCCTATACTTCACATTTCTAGGAGCCTGAATCACAAGGTTTTGTAACTCTTATTTTACTTGACCTTACTTGAAATTCCTGATTATCGGTTGGTGCCTTCCCAGTCTCTACCGGGGACCTAGCATATATTAGGCAGCCAATAAATGCATCTAGTAAATATCTGACACATATTAGGCACCTAGTAAATGTTTGTGCAAGTTATTACAGTTGTAAAGGTAAGTGATGATGGCTTAGATTATGAGAGTAACAGTGAGGATGAAAAGAAGTGATGGATTGGAAAGATATTTAAGAAGCAGAATCCAATGTGTTGGTGATAGATTAAATGAGAGGTGGGAGGGGACACTTGGGGGGGGGAGAAAGAGGTGTCTCGAAAGCTTCCCAGGTTTTTAATTTGAGTCACTAGTAGTCACATCAACCACACAGCTGTAAAGTCATGCCCTGTCTGCCTCTGACCCACAGATGGATGTACAATCTACTGTTCATTCCTGCGTGGCCCTGTGCCTAGCACTCATCCTATTGTGTTGAGCCATGTGACTATTTCTTCATACCTGTCTGTTGCTGCCACTGTAAATTTTAAATATAAATTAAGAGGAAAAAGAATATCCAGACTTGCACCTAAACCATTTGGCCAGAGGGTCCACTGTTCACTAAGACTTTTGGAACTCTGTTCACTTAAGACTGCTTTCCCTTTCATTGCCCCCAAATGTAGGCTCTTCTGGTCATCTTTTCTGTCCCTTTTCTCATCCCCACAATGTACTGAAGTTTTTCCCTCACCCAATTTCCCTCTTCTGTACTTCCTCTGAACTCAGAACGTGCCTTATACCATGATCAATAATTCCATTAAGCCTTGTCCTCTTCACTGAACTCTCCCTCACAGTCTCAACTAAAACTTGATTCACTTGTAGCCTTCAAAAGTGGAGCATGCTGACATTCTCACCCCTTAAACACTTCAGGGCTGGAAAGTGGAATTGTTATCCCCCTTGCTTTCTAAAAACTATTACTCTTCTCTCCTCCTGTAAAACCCCTCTTCCTTTGATGGTCTCATTATCTAGGAGTAACATCTTCCTCTCTCATGTCATTCATTTACCATCTCTTGAACACTCCTCTGCACCCATTAATAACTTTGGTATCTCATTTCTGGACTGTCTCAATCATAACTCCTTCTAATTCTGACTTAGGGTCCCTACATTAGTAACTTTCAATTTTTGAGCTTTTCTTCATCCTAAATTTCTAAATAACTTGATTATAATGCTACTCCTTAATTTTTCAATTACAGGTTTCTAACATGTAATGTGGTGGTTTAACTTCCTGATAACAAATTCCAACACACTTCTAACCAAGCAAAAATATAGAGAGAGCAATTTTGTTTTAAATTAATAGTATTTATTTTATTATAACTATATGCTACTGTAATTCAATCACATTTTATTTCTTGTGCATTTTTTTGTTTCTTTAAGAATTTCCTTATTTTTTTCTTTGCTTTATTTTTCTAGGTACCTTTCATTAATTCAATTCTCTATCTCCTCTTGTTATAGCCAAGTGAGTATAATCTGTCATTTTCCCCCTGGAATAATCCTTCAGGAACACTGTATTTTCTTGTTCCTCTCTGGAATGTCTGTTTTTCTAGATCTGACATATATCTGTTATCCTAAAATTTCCCTTCACTATTATTCTGTGAGTTTTCTATTTCTTTCTTGTGTTACATCTTCTATTTTCTAAATCCCATGTCTTTTTCTTTCTGGACTTATTGGAATACAATATCCAAGGTGGAATGTAACATCTAGTAATTTACTGAGAAAGGATCTCTGGTACATGAG